AAATATAATAACAACAAAGTACTCCAAGTAGTTCAGCCCCAAAAGTATCACAGATTTTGTTCCTGGATTTTTTGCAACTAATGGTCAAATTTACTTTTGATCACCAGTTGCGAAAAATTTTACTTTTCGTAACTGGTGATGAAAAGTAAGGCATTTGATAACGTCAACGAGTTTTGAAAAGTGTCACTTTAAATGTCAAAATTAGAAAAACATATTTAAAAATAGTCTGGACGAGCACAATGAAGTGAGAACCAACTTTGTGACCTACATGATGTAGATTGGCAAAAAGTACAAACAGTAGACTCATCGGTTAAAACTCTCTTTTTACTGTGAAGTAAAATGTAATGTGTGTAGGTAGTTTTCGAAAAGTTTTCACCCAAACTCTTGCCAAGCAACAATTTTGCAGATCATCTCTGGAAATTGGATTATTTTATTCCGGAAAGTGTCAATTGTATTCCAGATTAGTTAATTTTATTTTGAAAAACATCAATTGTATTTCAGAAAACGTGAATTATATTTAACATCTCTAATACACTTGACGAATTCAGAAATACAATTTACAATTTCTGATCTACAAATAAATAATCTGAAACACAAATGACATTTTCTGAAATACAAAGTGACCAAACTGAAATACGAATGACTTTTTCTGAAATACAACTGACCAAACCAAAACACAAACGACGTTTTCTGAACTACAACTGACAAAGCTGAAATACAAATTGATGAATCTGAAATACAAGTGATACATTCTGAAATAAATACCTAACGAAAATGTCTGCCCTCAAATCGACTTCGGTTCAACAATAATGCTGAGTAATATTCAGACATTTATAACTCAAAACTCTTATAAGTTGATACCAAAAATAAATGCTCCGGAATATGATAAATACATAAATAAAATACATCGGCATGATATTGCTCGACCCTATGTAACAGATCTGCTTGAGGTGTGAATTGGAAAATTCAAGAGAAAATCGATCTTCTGAATATTCTTATTTTGATATAGCGTGATACGACGCGATATTGCTTTTGGGAAATTGCTGTTTTGTACTTCGCTCTCTTGAACTTATTATAGAGCCTTTGGAACACACCCAAAACTATTCGAAAAAAAAATAGTGAGGCTGTGAAATATAGATGAATTAAGATAGTACAACATCTCTTCATGTGCTTCCATTGAAAAATCATCAATGCTCCTGAAATTCAGACAGCAAAATTAGTTCCGAACTCGTCCATCACATGGGCTCGAATCAACCTGATGATGTTCCGTGTTTGGTTAACTTAATTACGCACCAACGTGCGGTGGTGTATATGTAATTTCCAGGAAGTTCGATACTCTCGAGTCCCATGCATAATTTATTTTCGACCTATTACTGCTCGAGGGCAATTCCTTTATCGAGAGAACTTGTGTTTTGGATTGATTGCAAACCTTAATAGATGCCTATTGTGGCAGTAATTGTTGTTAAAATGCAACTAGGCGATATTGAATTAAACGCTTTAGATTGTATATTTATCATTTACTCGTTTTGTTTAGTAACGGTTGGATAATTAGTCATGATGTTTGTTTTATAACATACACTTTAATGATAAGTTTATTAGGTTGTAAATTGAAAATCATCAGGTTTTGTTTTTGATCTTTGACTCATATAAGTATTAAAACGTAAACATTAATAATAGCTCGTTTTCAAATTATTTGTGATTAGGAAATTATTGATTTTGTTTTATCTCCTTTTGACCTCAAGTTTCACTGTACTACAAATTTCACTTTTAATACTAAGTGACATAGCACAATCTTGCCATCAAGAGGACATACATACCTAGAGCCTGTTTTTTTTTTAAAAGATAAAAGTCAATATGACATTATGTTGGCAATACAATGTAAAATTGTCAATGCTTTCAAATTTCTTATGTAGAAAAGGCTTGTGTTGCCAACATAGTTACTAAATTTTTGACTTGGGGAATTGTCTTTAAATAAAAAACAGACTTTACATAAATGTTTTAGTTTTGAGCTGATATCCGTCTCAAGACGATCAGAACAAGACTCAAGAAAAAAATCAGCCAGCCTGAATAATATTACATGTGGTACTTTTTAAGGTCTGTTCCAACACCGTCCCATGGACGGTTTCGAAACTACTGTGTATACAAATTTTGATTCTGCGCAGAATGGTGATGGTAAATTGTACAGATTCCTGCTATGTTGGAACAAATCTTTAATTACCATAACAGGAATCTACTCCAAACTCACAAGTATCATCGGTTTTATCTATAAATTTAATGCATAATATGTATATGTTCTAAAAATATGCTTGATAAATTTCAACAACGTTCCCTTATCATTGGAATCGGGTTCAAAAATTGCCAGACGAAAAATAAAAAAACCCCATTTTCCATCCGTTACAGGATAAAATATGAAAACACATAAAGGAAATGTATAAAACGGTTTTGGGGTCATTAGAATGTGAGAGAAAAACTTGGAACCTTGCCAGACGCTAAAAGAGTCGAACAACTAACAATAAACATCAAGATTATATCATCACTTAACCCTGAAATGTATAGAATCGTTTTAGGATTACCATAATTTATGGTAAGAAGAATTGCGCTAATTTCATTACTTTTATTTACAGATTTGGATGTTCAACCAAAGTTGACAACCACTGCATAACGACCAAGCTCCAATATAAACCGCTGCAGGTTTTTTTCCCATTTAAAGAGCCTGCTGGTCGTTTGTATAACCGTGTCTTTACATGGTCGTGCAATCTGGTCATGAAAGGCGTGTACGATTCGACAACCGGTTCGATAATGGTTAATAATATCCAACCAAATAGTTGCACTTAAAAGTCGAGGCAAGTTTTCTTGACAATAATTGACATCTTCAAACAGCTAATTTTGACAGTTTGATGATAGGCGATTATATTCAATTAACTAGCCGCATTGATGGGGCATTTAAAAATTTATTGGTATACTTATATTTGAAAAAAAAAATCCTCGAAAAAATCGTATTTAAATCGTCTTAGACAAGATGTCGGACATTACATTTGAGGTCAAGCTTACTACACTCGTGTGGTAATCAATATTTACCACTTCTAACAACGCTCGTGCCCCACTGGTAGAAAATAATATACAGGGTGTTTGAAATATTTAACATAAATTATTATTGTTCTGACCAGACGTTCTGACATTTCGTAATGGAACAACCCTAAGGAACAACCTGTATTCCCGAAACCAACGTTCAGGCCTATGATGTATCATTTTTTGTTATCATGACGGCAAGATTAAGTTATCTGTCACTGTCTATTCTATACTTCAAAATAGAGACAGGTATAGATGTTGAGCTATATATATATAAAAAAATAAAATAGCTTTAAAGCAATAGGAGAGGATACATCTCACATGTCAAATTCAAATCATGTGTCGAAAAGCTAATAAAGGAGATAAATAGAGAATATGGGTAACCATCGTTAGAATCTCATTTGTTTTTTATTTGAGAATTGTCGCTTCAGCATTTACTCACTCTTTCACGACGATCACTTTCATTCTGGTGTATAAGTTGTGGTCATCTGAACAAAGGAGGAAACCTCGTTGATAAGCAGAGGTAACAGCAATGGTCTAATCTAAATTCTTGAAGTGTATCAGTTTCTCAGAAATATTTCAACTTTGAGGTTCCTCTAGAAGCTTCATCATAGATAGATTTTTCTAAGTCCTCTGGCTTGTCTGAAAGGCTAAATACCAATAATTGATTAAAAATTTAAATTCCTACGGCAGTGCAAACATAATTTCCATAATAATAATAATTATTATATTATTGTTTTTAGTAAAAACATGTTTTGCGATTTTTAATGCTCATTTATTTATTAATGTGTCGTTTTTTTTGTTTAAATAATACATTAACAGCTTTGTCACGCAAGCCATAAGCTGACCAACGAGCAAAATAAATGACAATGATAAATTGAACACAAAAACAAGGCGGATCGTGTTTTTGAATCGACTAAACGCGATGCGGCAATGGACAAAAATAATAAAAAGAAAATCGTTTTGAGTTTATAAATAAATTTAGTCTGCACAATGAGGCATACAAAATGCGACAATTTCAGTAGTTGTATATATAAAAATCTCAAACTATCGACCTTGTTAGCAATATTCCGACAAATTGATAGGAAAGCAAGTGAAATGGATTCTGAGGAGAAAGCCTTTTATACTTATATCATCATAGTAGGAGATATTGCGAAAATTTTGAGTGCACTCTATTCAAGAAGACCAGAGAGAAGATTCTCTGATAATTTCAAATTCCTATGTATGATACAGACTTTTCCAAGTATTTAGAAATTTATATTGAAAACTAGCAAGAGCAAAAATGTTGAAATTTCAAATTTTTCCATTTTGAGATTTTATTTTCCAATGATGATTTGGGACCTTCGAAACTCCATAAGGCCATACATATTGTCCATCATTTTGAGATTTGAAGCTGGAATGTTTGAAAAAAAAGCAGCGGAAAAATTGAAAAATGATAAAATTTCCTCCTTATTCCTTAACGGGATTTTGTATCTGAAACTATAAGTCATAACTCCAAATCAGAATACTTTTTGTCAAAAACTTCATCCAGATGTTAAGTCATCTAAGTAGGTAATGATCGAACGAATGTCATTGTTATTGAAATGAATAGATCTTTTTATGTTTATTGAGATTGGATGTGACTTAACAGTTCTAGATCTGGAGGGGACACGAGACAAATATTTGCTACAAACACAAGACACAACCTATCACAAAGAGCTATTGTAACTGAAAATTTAGAAATGCTTAATAAACTCTGAACCTTTATATACAAATTGATAATTCTGCTTAAATTACTCCTTATATTTTGTGTTAAAATTATGGCCAGATTCTGAGCAGTAATTTATTAATTTAGTCAAGTAAATTGCATATGAAATCCTTTAAGAAATTAAAGGGTTTTGCATTTTCATCAAACGCAAATTCTGATTATGTTTTTTCTTGTTTTGTTCCAGGTATAAAATGTTGTGTGTGGAGCAGTGGGGCGCCGACGCAGGGCAGCTTGTCAGCGTCGTCGTCAGCAGGACGGGCAGCTTTGCAGCGTGCCCGGTGGCATGGCGGCCCCAATGAGGTCGGGGCATCAGCAGGACGGCCAGGGCCACCGAGCGAGGGTGGCGGACTCCTGCAAGGGCGCGACGGCCGCCAGAGGGCCCAATCAGCCATCTTCAGCCGGTCAGCCGCAGCAGCAGCACCACCACCACCACCATCACCAACCTGCTCCCAATACAGCAGCTAATTTCGAGTATGATGACAATGAGTGGGATATAGGTCAGTATAAACTACATATTGTAAAAATAAATATTTGTTATTGTCTGACAAGAACGAACTAAAAATATCAAATTAAGAAACAAAAAGAAAAACAATCGCATATCAAAATGTACAGGGAAACTTCTCGAGCTAACATATTGAGGAAAAATTTCTTCAACATTCCCCCTTAATACAACAGTCTTCTGAAGTTCACATCATTTTGATAAGTCCAGAGCTTGAACACAAAACTCAAATTTCGGTCTAGGTAATGGCTAAGTACAAATGTAAGTTGTCATCTTGTTTGGTGGATGATATGCAAACTGAACTTCACCATTTTCAACCTCTGTTATAAAGTGAAACCTGAAATCAATGTGCTTCTGTTCAGAACAGGATTAGGTACTTGCAATTTCTTGATCACTAAGATTGTCATTGTAAACTTTCACAGGTTTTGAAAAATTTACAAGTTCTGGCAACAATCCTCAATGAATTGCTTTTTTTGCGGAATCACTTATTGCCATATATTCTGCTTCTCACAAACTGTAGTCTGCTTGCGACATTCCCAGGAAACAACTGCATCAGCATATTTGAAAAAAACCCCAGTGTGTGACTTTGGATTTGTCGCATCACAAGCCTAATCTGCATCAGTGTATGCAGTCAATTCTTATACAAATTTCCGATAAACTAATGCCCTGTCCGCTGTTCTTTTGAGATATCTCAATACGCGTTTCGCAGCTTGCTAGTGCTCTTGACCATGGTTGGTTGGTTGGGAATGTTTGTCCTGTTCGTCTATTAAGTCAGTGAAAAGTTTCGTGACCTGGATTACGTTTAAGAGCCCCTTTGCCGTGTGGTTTTTGGTGAGTTTAGTGATAGGGTCTTCTGGCCCTATCTGTCTGTATTTCCACCAGCGTAAAACCTTACATTCGAAGACTATGTGGGTGGCGGTTTCATCTTCCTCGTCATAAAGTCTGCATATGGGTTCTTCTTGAAGGATGCCCATTGTGTGAAGGTGGTTTTTCAGGATAAAATATTCGGTTATAAGTCCAGTTATTAGCCTGATTTGAAAGAGTTTTCCAGTGCGTTATAGTGTTGTCTATACACCCATTGATTTATTTTTGTGCTTACCGAAGATTCTGTGGTGCTAATTGCCGGTTCAGGACCAGTATAACTGGTTACTGATCTTTCTCGTGCCAGAGCACCTGCTTTTTTATTTCCTTCAATTCCTTTATGCCCTGGCATGCATTTAAGGTTACCTTGTTGGCCCTACTTAGGTTTTTGAGGTTTTCCAAGCATTCCCAGACAAGTCTGGATTTTATTCCGCAACTGTTGAGTGGATATAAGGATGTTTTTACCTGTGTATTCCCCTCGGTATCTCCTCCTTAGGTTTTCCCTGCCAGGAGTCGATGGCATGATTTCTGCTTATATCGCATGGAGTTTGTTCATATATTCCAGCACCGGTTCCAGTTCCTGTTTTGAAGCCGTCAGTACACCAGACAATTTCTTGTTTAGGTGTTACCCCGGTATTTCCTACTGGAACAGCCTCGATGACGAAGGGTTTTTCGAAGGATTTTTTCGGCATCATAGTCGCTTCCCATGGTTAAAATCGGGGTTGGGATTATTTTGGTGATTGCTGCATGTCCATTTGGTTTTGGGTTCCAGTTTTCGTTCAGCTGGAGACGATGTGCCCTGATTCTAGCTTCCGCTTTGACGATGAGGTCAATTGGTGGGAAGTTTAGGATCGTTTCCTTACTTGCCGATGGTGTGCTTTTCTGTGCACCGGTGATAAAAAGACATGCAAGTCTCTGGATTTTGGCTAGCTCCAGATTTACCTGTCTTTGATTAACCCTAAGGCCACCATACAAGTGCACCAAATGTTATCATTGGCCTCACAACCGTAGTGTAAATCGAGCTTGTGTACAACTGACGGTTTTAATCCCCGTCCTCCCAACCACTCTTTTTAGTGACATCAACGTCATCTTGCTTCTGGTGATTATCTTTTGAATGTCCCATCTTCATATCTAGCTTTGGCTTCCCTACCAAACCCCAAGGTTTTCTCGAATAAACTGGTCCTCCAAATTTATTTTTCTCGTGGAAGGAATAAGTTTTGTTTAAGAAGGGTTGACGCGAAGTTGCACACGAAGTTGCCCCCGTACACCATTCCTCAATGATTCCTAAGGCATCCTGCATGAGGTTTGATACCGTCTTGGTAAATCCACCCCTAATCAAAACGACTGCCCAGATAGTACAAATGCCATTCTAGCAACTTATTGGGGATATCTGGGTCGGACATTTAGTAAGTACCGAGTATGTCTTTCAAAAGTCCTTGATCTTCCCTAGGACATACCTAGGATATTACAAAACCTCTGATACTGACTACCTCCTGGAAAGTCCCATGGACGGTACAAGAGGAAATCCTAAGGTTGTGTAAACTAAACTCCTACGAACGTTCAAAGAGAACTGCTAGGGATATTAAGAATAGAACATTCAAAGAGGTCCAAAAAGATCATACATGTGACATTTAAAGGGGAATTCCCAGGGACGTCCAAGAAGAACTCCTAGGGATATTCAAATTAGGATTCCCAAGGACGTTTGGATGGACATGGGATTTAAAATGAAAGTCCTCAAGGTATCACAAAGGTTACCAAAGGTATATACCTAGACTAGACGTTTGTGGACGTTGGCTCTTGATTTTCTGGAAAAATAACCGAGAGACTCAAGAGCCGATAATAAAGAAAAAATTTGAACTTTCACCAGCTCTTGATTATCTAGAAAAACTACCCAGCAACTCAAGAGCTGGTGAAAATCAAAATTTGAAATATTACCGGCTTTTGACTGTCCAGAGAAATTCTCCAGCGATCCAAGATCCGGTAATAATCAAAATTTGAATTATTACCGGCGGCCCATTTTGTACGTTATGACAGTTTATGCGCATTCTCTTGCTATTTTTTGGATATAATGATTAATTTCTCCTCACCAAACTTGCCAAGTGTGATTCCTGAAACTCCTCAAACGACGTTTGTTATATTACTAACGTCTTCATTCGATGAAAATGCATCTTTACCTTTAAGTTCATGTTCTAATATGTCATCCACGTAGCCTAGGGTGAATTAGCCTTGAGCGTTGAGATTCCTGAGAAGTTTATTCTTGACTAGATTCCAGGAGTGGTGAAAGTACTCCGTCCTGGGCATCCTTTTGTTGCGGTTACGTTTATAGAGGTTTCAGCAATTGGCCATACTATAAGTATTGAACTGAACTCAGAATCATGCATAAAAAATGTCAAGTCTGCAAATGACTCACATTAGGCATCAAATTAGTTGAAGATTTTGCACATTCGAGAATTTTTCGTTCACTAATGGCAGTTTCATATTTGGATCCATTGGTGTACTGATTGGTTAACAATCCGATTTTCCAAACATGCTTAAGATCCATGACATAGTTTCTCTAGTTTCTCTGCGACTGATAGAAATACTACCATCTGGATTTTCTGCACGTCGATGCCTAAACAGTTATATACGATGGCTCAGAAGGGACATGACTATGTTTTATTGTATTAAATTTCGCACTGCCAGATTCAAATACGCACTGCTAGATTTTTATGTCGCACTGCTAGATTCAATCTCGCACTGCTAGATTTAAAGACGCACTGCGAGATTTATTCTCGCACTGCTAGATTTATTCTCACACTGCTAGATTTAAAGACGCACTGCCAGATTTAAAGACGCGCCAACGAAATATCTGAACGTATGGTTCTTGGACATCCTCCGCATGTTTCTACAGATGTTAGAAAGAAACCAGATATAACCCGTGAATTATTATTTGTATAACTAGCTTTTAACCTTACGTTTCTGTTTCTGCAGAAATCAAAAACCAGTCAGAGCGAATTTCATTGGTTGAAAATAGTCAGAAAACTAGTTTCAACCAATGAAATTTACTCTGACTGGTTTGGGATTTCTGCAGAAACAGACCTAATGTGACGTGAGTATCCATCAATACAACCACTTATGGCAATACCGTAAGGTTTTAATTTATCGTAACTATCTATATGCCAGAAGAAGTTTAGCCCCCTATTGAAATATTGCATTCTTCGCAGTCGTCGTCTTCTACGCAAAGACACTCCCTCTGGATCTAATTCTTTCAGTAAGAGTCTTACTGTATTTCGACGAACTACTAAACCAGCTTACAGACATTTTAGATGCATCCATCTATATCCATGTAATTGAAAGCTTGTCTCTAACTAGTTCCCGATAAAGTCCAATATTTCAGTTGGATTGGAGTAAGGTTTTCTTCTGTACAATTTTAAGTCCTTCAAAACACGTTTCAAGTGTCTGGCGCTTATGTCAATATAACTGGAATGGATGAACCCAAAAACCACGGCAAATACTACCACTCTGAGTTGCAATAACGCTTATCTTGTAGCGGTAATTGATTTAAATCTGGAAGTGCGTCTTAAAATCTGACAGTGCAAGAATAAATCTCGCAGTGCGTCTTTAAATCTAGCAGTCCGAGAATAAATCTCGCAGTGCGTCTTTAAATCTAGCAGTGCGATAATAAATCTAGCAGTGCGAGAATAAATCTCGCAGTGCGTCTTTAAATCTGGCAGTGCGAGATTAAATCTCGCAGTGCGTCTTTGAATCTAGCAGTGCGAGAATAAATCTCGCAGTGCGACTTTAAATCTAGCAGTGCGAGGGCATATGAAAACATTATTGTCTTTATTGTCATTATTGTTCAAAATATCACACGAAAGTACAAAAGGCAAGTAAAAACCCAAAAACTTGATCAGACAACCAAGTGACAGTTCGTTGACGTAAGGTTCGTATGAATATGGCGGACCTGGATCCGCTTTCGACCACGTGATCGCATCTCCCTACCATCCTAACTCAATGAATAAAACATAGTCATGTCCCTTCTGAGCCATCGTACAGTTAAGTGTCCAAGATTATAAATCTTGAAGTGATTATGATAGTTACCTCTTCAATTATCTCAACTTCCTGTGAAAAATAAAAAAAGTCGTTCATGTGCAATGA